ATACAGAGACAGATGAGAGAGATATACAGAGAGATGAGAGAGAGAGAGAGAGAGACAGAGAGATGAGGGAGAGAGATGAGAGATACAGAGAGAGAGAGAGAGAGAGATACAGAGAGATGAGGGAGAGAGAGAGATGAGAGAGATGAGAGAGAGAGGAGAAATACAGAGAGAGGAGAGAGAGAGAGAGAGGAAAGTGAGAGAGAGAGAGATACAGAGAGAGAGAGAGAGAGATGAGAGATACAGAGAGATGAAAGAGAGAGAGATACAGAGAGATGAGGGAGAGAGAGATACAGAGAGATGAGAGAGAGAGAGAGGAAAGTGAGAGAGAGAGAGAGATACAGAGAGATGAGAGAGAGATACAGAGATGAGAGAGAGATACAGAGAGATGAGAGAGAGGAAAGAGAGAGAGAGAGATGAGAGATACAGAGAAACGAGAGAGAGAGAGAGAGATGAGAGATACAGAGAGACGACAGTGAAAGAGAGAGAGAGAAAGAGAGATGAGAGAGATACAGAGACGGATGAGATACAGAGATGAGAGATGAGAGAAAGGGAGAGATAGAGATGAAAAAGAGAAAAAAGAGATACAGAGAAATGAGAGATGAGAGAAAGGGAGAGACACACACAAAAAGAGAAATGAGAAAGAGAGAAAAAAGAGAGCTACCGAGAGAGATGAGAAAGAGGGAGATATGAGAGAATGGGGAGAGGGGGAGAGAGAGAGAGAGAGATGCTTTGACCGCCCCCCTTCCCCGCCCAACTCATCCCCGCGCCCCCAACCCGGGCAGAGCAGCGAGTTGGCAGCGTCTTCCCACTACCTGCCACGAAGATGGAGAGAAAACAGAATTCCTGGATCATGTTCAGCCGCCGACGAGCCCCGATCGCCGTCCGTTTTCCACCCCGCGGCCGCAAACGTTGCCAGGGACGGAAAAAGCCGCTCTGCTTTCGGTCCGCCTTTCCCGCTTGAGAAAAGAAACTAAGCGGCGGCTGCGGGGGGGGGGGGGGGAATCGATTGGTGGGGGGAAGGAGAATTGCGCAAACTTGGTCAAAACCCGTTCCGCAATTTTCTCGACGTAGCTAAATCCCGTGGCTTTCCTGCGGCTTCGAGCGGATCTGAGTCGCTGAGGGACGGGGTTTGGGGAAATCGAGGCTTTTCCTTCCTTTATTTTAACCGATCCTGATCGAAGCTGCCGGGGCTCAAGTGGGGTGGGAGAGAAATCCTGACATCGGAGGGATTTCTCTCTCTTACACACACGCACCCCGGGGGGGGGAATACAATTTGATTACATGAGCGGTCGCGCATCCACACGTGACGTAACCGAGCGACACGCGTTCCGTCCCCTGCCGAGACGTTCGTACTTGGTAAAGAAGCTGCTTTAACTGGGTGGGTTAAAATTGCTGGCCTGTGGCTTTCGCGGGGCTTTCTCGCTCGGCCCGGCCTTCCTCCCCACCCCGCCTTGATTTCCAGCAAAATTTTCCCCAGTTTGCGATACTTCAGTTCGGGGCAAACCTTGCCCGACTTCGGTGAATAGCTGGGTTTTTCCCATCCCGGTTAGGTGGAGTTGCATTAACAAAGGGACTCAAACAAGATCACGTGAGGTAATCTATTGGGGACAATAGGATACACCTCTAGAAAGCCTTAGGAGGACCACACTTGGAACACTGCACCCAGTTGTTATATTATAAAAAAAAAAGAAAAGGATGTTGACACTCTAGAAAAAGTGCAGAGAAGAGCAACCAGGATGATTAGGGGTTGTTGTTTGTTGCAAAGTCGTGTCCGACCCATCGTGACCCCATATGGACAACGTTCCTCCAGGCCTTCCTGTCCTCTCCTATCTGCTGGCGTCCATTTAAGCTCACGCCGACTGCTTCAGTGACTCCATCCAGCCACCTCGTTCTCTCTCAACTGTTCCCAGCATTAGGCTCTTCTCCAGTGCATCCTTCCTTCTCATGAGGTGGCCAAAGTATTTGAATGATTAGGGGACTGGAGGCTAACACCTACGATGAACTGTTGCAGAAATTGAGCATGGCTAGTCTCTAGGGATGGGGTGGGAAGCCGGTCAAGCTGTTTTCCAAAGCACCTGAAGGCCAGACAAGGAATAATGGATGGAAACTGAACAAGGATACAATGCAATCCTTGCAATCCTAAATTGCATTTAACAGAGGGATACAATCGAGATCAAGTAAGGTACTAATACCACTCTATAAAGCCTTAGTAAGACTACACCTAGAGTACTGCATCCAGTTTTGGTCACCACACTATAAAAAAAAAGATGTTGAAACTCTAGAAAAAGTGCAGACAAGAGCAATCAGGATGATTAGGGGACTGGAGACTAGAACATACGATGAACAGTTACAGCAGAGGTGGAATTCGACCGGTTCAGACTGGTTCTGGTGCGCCGGTAGGAGCGATGAGCAGTGGAGACTGAACCGGTTTTCTCCACCGTTCTGTTGTTGGGCCCACCCGCCCACCTGGGCTTCCATACTCACCTTTATCCTCTGAATTTGAAGCGCAGCCGCTTTGCGTGGCACAGAAGAGTGCCGTGTGGCAGTTGCTGAAGTGACCGGGATCGTGCAGGCTTGCAGGAAGCGAGTTAGAATGCCTCTGTGCTTGCGCAAACGCCTCTGCAAAGCGCGCCCACCAAGCCACGCCCACCGAACCGATGGCAACAATATTTGAATCCCACCACTGGGTTACAGGAACTGGGCATGGTTAGTCTAGTGAAGAGAAGGACCGGGGGAGACATGATAGCAGTGTTCCAATATCTGGGGGGCTGCCACAGAGAGGAAGGGGTCAAGCTATTTTCTAAAGCACCCGAAGGCCAGACAAGGAATAATGGATGGAAACTGAACAAGGAGAGATTCAACCTGAAAATAAGGAGAAACTTTCTGACAGAACAATCAACCAATGGAACAGCTTTGTCTTCAGAAGTTGTGGGAGCGCCCTCACTTAAGACGTATCTGAAACAAGGAAAGATTCAGCCTAGAAATAAGGAGGAACTTTCTGACAGAGCAATCAACCAATGGAACAGCTTCCTTTCGGAAGTTGTGGGAGCTTCATCACTGGAGGCTTTCAAGGAAAGACTAGACTGCCATTTTGTCAGAAATGGTGTAGGGTCTCCTGCTTTGGGTGTGGGGGGGTTGGACTAGATGACCTGCAAGGTCCCTTCCAACTCCGTTATTCTGTTATTATTACAGCTCAGGGGTATCCGAGGACAAAAGCAAGAGAGCGTGAAACTCCTTATCGGTTGAGGATTATGGGAACTGTCATACTATGCCCCTTGGATTTGTATCCAGTGGGCACCCGGTTGCCTGTGGCTGCCTGTGGCTGCTCTGCTAATTTGGCTGGATTTTAATGATTAAACATAGAGGGAGAGGCAATGGACAAAGGTCTCCCTTTACGGTTGTTTATTTCATTAAAAGAAATCTCGCCCCAAATGGGGAGGGGATCCAAGTAATAACTTGGGAAACATTAGCCTTTTTGACTTTGCCCTCTTCCCCCAGATATAAATTCACAACAAAATAACTTAGGGCAGAGTTATTATTAGAATGATTATAGATACAGATAACAGATAATCAGAGTTGGAAGGGACCTTGTAGGTCATCTAGTCCAACCCCCTGCCCTAGTGGGAGACCCTACACCATTTCTGACAAATGGCAGTCCAATCTCTTCTTGAAGGTCTCAAGTATAGGATTGATATCTCTTATATTACTTAAGATTGATATTCTTCCTTTCAACTTTTAATTTCTTTTGTAAGAAAAGATTGGAGAGTCATTTGTCCGGAATGGTCTAGGGCAGTGGCGGCTAACCTTTTGGGGCTCCTGTGGTGAAAATTGCACATGTGTCCACGCCCGCACGCTAGCACCCAGAAGCCAGTGCATGCGGCGGGGCCCCATGCCCCTGCGCATGCACACACAACACCCGCCACACTTGCTGCACATCTCTGCACGTGCATGCATGATCCCCACACATCATACACCTCTGCATGTGCGAGAGACGCCCCTTCGTGTGCTGGGCGTCTCGGTGCAGCCACGTGCATCTCTCCCGCCCCCCACGCATGCACGCCAGATACCTGACAATCAGCCGTCAGGCGGGCAGTGCACGCACATGTGCAGTGGGGCTCTTCCAGGTGACCTCTCATGTGCTGGCAGAAGTGGCTCTGGATGCCACTTCAGCACATGTGCCATAGGTTCGCCATCACGGGTCTAGGGCCGTGATGGTGAATCTGTTATAATATTTATAGAATAACCCTTGAGTAACAAGAATATGCACATGGAAACATTTATGGGAGTAGTTATGAATAATTATCCAGCCACACACAGATACACTAAATTGAGTTAAAGTTTACTTTAAGAAATAGCACAGTCCAATAAACAGTCCAGGTCATATATGTTTAACAGTCCAAAGAATATCCAACTACAAAGTCTTCTTACCGGTTGCCTTTGTCATTTACAGTAAACCAAGATATCAAAGTATAAGCAGGGGTGGGTTTCTACCAGTTCTGTCCACCTCTGTAGAACCGGGAGCTCTGAAGAGCAGCAGACATAGAACTGGTTCTATGTCTGCTGATGTTTTTGCCCACCCACCCACCAGGGCTCTTACCTGATCTTTATTTCCTGATTTTTCAGCTTCAGCTGCCGAACGAGGCACAGCTGCAGTTAAAAAAATAAGAAAAGAGGGCTGTTTCAAAGGCTGCTTCTTGGCACGCAACGTGCTAATGGCGGCTCACAGCATGCAGGGAAGCTCGTAAATCCTGAACCGGTAGTTAACCCTGTGGTATCCCACCCCTGAGTATAAGCACAACAAAAATACCACAGATAGCAACAGAATGTCAGAGAGACAGAATGTCAGAGAGAGCAAGCTATGATCTCTAGCTCCCTCTTATGGTAATTCGCAATATAATCAACCAATCGGAATATAGTATAAATCAATACAGTGATTTTGTCTTAAAACTACAAACGTACATTGTTGGTTTATATGTTGCCAACCCAACTAATTGGTGAAGAGATTCCTAATAGAATCTAATGGCCCGCGTGCCAGAAGTGTCACACAGAGCCATCTTTCCAGGCATGCCAGCCGTCGCCCGTTGCTCTTCTGGGTTCCGTGTGAAGACCAGGTGGTCTTCACATGTGGGAGTGCCAGAAACCGGAAGAGCAGCTCCCCGTCATGCATGTGTGGCCCTTCTTTGCACATGCATGCATGCCAGAAACTGGGAGACCAAGTGGCCGGCGTGCCTGCACGTGCCAGAAGCCAGAAGTGCAGCTTCCCAGCGCGCACATGCACACTGAGGGAGCTGTTCCTCTGGTTTCTGGCGCTCCCCCACACGCGCTCCAGGGAGCTGCTCTTCTGGTTCACCAACACTGTTCTAGGGCAAGGGTCTCCAAACTTGGCAAGTTTAAGACTTGTGGACTTCAACTCCCAGAATTCCTGAGTTGACATGACGGGAGGAGGAATTCTGGGAGTTGAAGTCCACAAGTCTTAAAGCCGTCAAGTTTGAAGACCCCCCTGATCTAGGGTCTCTTGCTTGAGCAGAGGATTGGACTTCTAACTCAGTTACAGGTAGTCCTCAGCTTACAACATTTCGTTTAGTGACCGTTCAAAGTTACAATGGCAATGAAAAAAAGTGACTTATGACCGTTTTTGACGCTTACAACCATTGCAGCATCCTCCTGGTCATGTGATCAAAATCCAGATGCTTCATGAATAATTCATATTTATGACGGTTGCAGGGTGCCAGGGTCACGCGGTCTCCTTTTGCGACCTTCTGACAAGCCAAGTCAATGGGGGAAAGCCACTCAACAGCCATGTTACTAACTTAACAATTGCAGTGATTTGCTTCACAAATATGGCACGAAAAGGTCTAAAACGGGGCAAAACTCGCTTAAAACCAATGTCTCACTTAGCAACCAAAATGTGGGGCTCAACTATGGTCGTAAATCAAGGACTACCTGTACCCTGTCATTCTG